TTCGCTCGAACTGTCATCTGAAGAGATGGTTGTTGTATTTGTTCATTTCTGCTGCCTCAATCTGAAGTACTGTTCATTTGTTTTTTCTTGTTGATTTTTTTCTGTCCAACAGAATTTTACTGATCGAATTTTTTAGGCTGTCCAGTAAGAGTTGAAATTTTCGAAAGTACGACAGAAAGAGCAGCCGCACATGCGGCTTCGCGATCTAGCAGCACCTACTCGCTGAACCTGACCAACAGTACCGTGCCAAAGTACTTGGCTAAGTCGAATTTGAGTTCTGCGCTTTCGTTGAGTCCTCGAACCCAGATCACCCCGGCGCCTAGCCACTTTGGCCAGAAGGAAGGGAACGTTGGTAGCAGAATTGGCGGCGTAACGTCGCCTTCGTTGACGCCATCTTCGAGGACGTTCGGTTCAGGTACGGCTAGAGTCGGCACGAACAGCTACTTAAACGTTCGAAGGACGGCCACCAATGATGCATTGAAAGCAGTCACAACTGCTGGAGCATCTCATATTGGTGAAAATCCTAGCGTCGCTTCGGCGGTCAGCGCAGACGCTTCTTGCTCTGCTGATGTATATCAGCCAGTGTCGCCTAATCTAAATGGTGGATTGATGGAGCCGAAATCAAGTGGCGACGAAATGTATGCTCAGACGGTGTCCGCCGCCGGGCACGATGAAAAGGTCGCGATGAGTGACCAGATGGTGCAAAAAAATGAATACATTTGTGCTGATTCTTTCAATGTGAATTTTCATTCTTTGACCGATCACTGGAAAGCGAAATCACAGGAAAACGTGTTATCCAGCCCTAAAAAACCTAGTTTTAAATATTTTGATACCGACGCGATGAAATCGATGTCGCAAAGCGAGAGCACTGTTCCTGGAACACAGTCCCCATTGTTACCGCCGCCTGTCGAGCAGCTACAAATGCATAGGAACTCGAAATCGCCACGCCCTGCCGATGGTTCATTAAAGAATTTTACTTCGGCAAAAACAGCTGAGCAGCCACTGCCACCATCCCTGCAATCTCACGTTAAGGAGCCGATTTTGCCGAAGTCGCTGCCCCCCGAAGATTACGTGCTCAACGAGACTCGAGCGGAACTTCGTTCGACGGGCACTCACGGCTTACAGCAACAGCAGGGCAACGAACCGGACGGTAACGTAGTTAACGAGGAGCTGAAATTAGCTGGCGACACCGTGATCAGCAAAGCTAACCAACGCACTGTTGTGCATGAGGGGCTTGCCTCTTCGTTTGACACGCGAGAGTCGAATGGCAAGGTGGAGCGCTTTACTCCACGCGAAACGTGCGACCTCTCGTTACCCAGTTCTCCATTGGCCAGCAAGGACAAGACGGTAGTCGACAAGGCAGATATAGCGCCGGTGTCGACGTTAACTTCTGGTAAGCAAGCCGTAGCAGAAACTCCCGGACCAAGAGCCAACCTTGCGTTTGCGGCCAAAGACATTCTTCAGCAAATGTCGAAGAACATGAAGGCGCTCTGGCATCAGACCGTTATCGAGAGTTCGACCAACGGCGTATTGAGGCTGGGCGCCACTGCGAGGTACGTTCTGAAGAACTGCTTCAGTCGATCGGACGAAGTGCAGGTTTCAGTGACGCGTGAGTAATTTGTTTCTTCTGCCAGCTGCCAGCTCTTTGTCAGCAAAACGTGGTGCTCCTTTACAGATCTTAACGAAACGGTGCCTGTCGAGCTACATATGGAAAAGTTCGCCGAAAATGAATTGACCGTTCAGTTTGTTCCGCCCGACGTCGGTAAGACATGGAGTGTTGTGTTGTGCATCCGACTCTGTATGCGGGCTTGATTGATTGTAGGCGCCTACAAAGTGCATTTTTCATCTATGGACGAAGCGCACCCTTCGTCACCGTTGATCCTCAAGGTTTATAACCCTGATATGGTCAAAATCAGCGATATCATCGGCAAAACCGCCGGCAAACCAGTGCAATTCACAGGTACACTATTTGCTTGATATTTTTTTTCGCAGTTTGGATGTAGAATAGTTTCAGTGGGTTCGATCTATATGATGTGTTCGATCGTTGGATAATTTCAGAGACGTTGGCAAATGAGTAGCTGTTTGGTGTCATTACGTGCGTGCTGTGTGAACAGCCAGACAATTTGATGTTTTATCGGTTTCCTCAGTAACTGTACCTCGTGCTGAAAACTTAAGTCACTAGGTAATATAGAAAGCCTCCTTTTCACGACGGCATCTTCAGAATTTACACAACTCAAGCGGCAGAGTTACCCAGGCTTCTGATGTCTGACCTTTTGAAATGATGCCTCATGTACGTTAGATATTTCTGTTGTGTGTTCGTTACACGTGTGTTCCGACTTTTCTAATTGACTACGTTATGCGGATCTAGCTCATCTTGAGCGGTTAGTGCTAAATCGAATTCAGAACATGCAAAATCACAACACAACGTATTCCACCGATGGACGATCGAGTTTAATCTGCAGTGTAACTGCCTTCACGACTACTAGACCTTACAACATATTTATTGTGAAGGTCTGCTCCTGAATTTCGATGACAAGAGGATTATTTTTCCGGGATTAAAAAGATTGCGACATCTTTGTCTGCGGTCGTTGCTGGTCACTTCCAGCCCTGCGCTAAAAATGAAGCTCTTCTTAAAGGAGTTTGATTTTGGGTTCATAGTTGTTTATCATTCGAATACTTTTTCGATGCATTATTATGCCACCCAAGCGAAAAACAGCGATACGTTTCATTATCGGATAAGGTAACAATACTAACACTAAATGAAAGAAATTAGGTCAGTGCTGCAGCACACTTCAATGCCAAAACTCAGCTTTAGGAGAAAGTTGTTTGGAATAAGACACAAAGTGCTCGACAGGGAAACACTTGCGACGAATCTTCAGCCTTTTCAGCTAAATATTACATTCGACGTTCTTCACGATATGCGAAAGGAGAGGAAAAGCAGGCGAGGCCATTGACGTCAACGTAATGCATATGAATATAATGAACGCAATTCTAGAAACGGCGGAAAGCATCTAAGAAAAAAAGCTGGTCGACTGAAAATTACGATGCAGACCGAGGAACTCGTAAAGAAACCGATGGAATTGAAGGTAGGGGCAAATCAAGGTTGAAGATCGAATACCAGAAGGTTAAGGAAACAGATAAAAGACTGGTAACGAAAACTACTGAAAATCATTGAAGCATTAGAAAATTTGACCAGGGAATGGCGGCCAGGAAACGACAAACTTTAGCTATCAAAACACCAAATGGGATTGTTACCAGGGACCGATAATAGTTTTTAAGCAGAGTGGAAGATTTTTCTGGGTACCTTAAATGACTAGAAGAAATGTAAAGAATCCAGTGAAGCTCGCCAATTTGAGCTTTCTCGAAAGATAATGCGAAATGCAATAAGGCAGGCGCAGAGAGAAAGGACGCTTGGTTAAGACGGCGGTAAAGCATTGATCAAGATGTTAACATGCGAGTCTTAACGCTGTTTGAAGGAACTGCGAATTCCGGACAATTGAATTACCGCATCGGTGATTTTATTCTATAGAAAAGGAAATAGAGGTTATGTAGAAGTGAATACCAATCAACCTGCTGCCTATCATCTTTAATACATTCATACTGATCGAACAGCTTTCTAATAAACCTGTACTCCACAGACTCAAAGGAGCAAGGGCGAATCAAAAATGGATTTAGTACAATGAATAACTTTCAAGTGGTATAACAGATCATTCAGACAAGCAGCGAATCACAGCTTCCTTTCTGCCTGACATTCATCGATTTCGAGGAAGCTTTCTACTCAGTCTGTAACCGTTTTGTACTAAATTCCTTTAGGAGCCGTGGAATCGAGAAAATATATATAAACCAGATCGATATGCTTTGCAGGGATGGAGTTGGTGGTATGAAGCTTTATGAAGGCACAAATATGTTTAAATCCGAAGTGAGCGTTTGGCAGATAGACGCAGTATCGCCGGTGTGTTCACAGCAGCCTTAGAAATGGATTTCAAGTCATTCCGTTAGGAAAATTTTGGGCTGAATATAGATGGGCACTGCATAAGTCACCCGCGGTTTGTGAACAGTATTCTAATACTGTCTATGCCACCAGAAGAACTACAAAGAAGAATCCAAGAGCTGAATGATGCTAGCATCAAAGCAGGATTGGAAATGAGGCTGGATGGGGTCATGCTTGTCGAGTGCATAACTTTGCGACCCGTTGAAATAAGTTATCTAAGGCGTGAGGAAGTACAACACTACAGAAACTGGAAAACTGACTATGTGAAATAAAGCGAAGAATAAAAATAGCATGGAACAGTTTAGGAAGAATAAAAAATACTCATATCCGGCAAACTGTCATTGTGCTTAAATCGGAAAGACATTAATAATTGTGTTCCCCCAGTGCTGGCTAACATATAGAGGCAAAGTGTGGTCCTTAAGAGGAAACACTACTGATGGACTGGAAATTACGTAACATACTGTGGAACGGGGCCTATATCAAATAGAGGAGAAATTCTTTGCCGGCTGAATGGGTAAATGCACAACTTTTCGCTGCAAGAGGGAAAAGGATGAAGTGGCAATGGACAGGGTACGTTGCATAAAAAACAGATAATCAGTGGGCCATAGCAGTGTGTTACGAGAGACTGTAAACGATTCGTGAGCAAACCTAGTCAGGTGGCTGAAGAAGCTGATGTTCATTAGATCAAGATTGATGAAAATCATGAAAAAAAGATTTATGTATGGTTCTTGGAGATGCCTTCGTCCAGCGCTAGATCGAGAAAGGCTAATGATGTGGTGTAATGGTAAAAGTTGTTGTTAGCTTAAAGTTGAGTTACAGTCGTTTGTTGCAGAGGACATTATGATAAGCGTAACATTGCATGTT